CTGGAGATTTTTGCCTTGGAAATGAGTTGGTCATGGGGCACAACTGGGATGGAAAAGGTTCAGCGTTGAAAGAAGGTAGATTGTTACTCTGGGAGGAATGTTATGTGAAATGATAATGAGAATGAAAGGACAGGAATAAGTAAAATAAGTGAGTATTATTAAAAGCCAATGAATATGATATTGGATATGATTCAGTTTAAAAACTTAAACTCACAAGTTATAGTAGAAAGTTATAAATACTAAGAAATTAGGTAATATCAAGTAGAGTCTGTAATACGCTCGCGTTAAAGTTGATGTAGCTTGGCCTTCGTAACGGTGACGGCGGATCCGCCGTCTCGCCGCTGACAACATTGACTCGTGGATGCGCTGGCGGAGGCGCGGCGCCGGCGGCTGAACGCTTGCTGGGTGAGAAGGGGGGGGGGATGTGTCACACTGGACAGATGCTTGTTTGGAGAGCGCCATTACCGAAATTGGCGGCGCTGTGGGTCGCCGAGATATTTTCCCATTGTGTATATAAGAAGAATATTAGAAGGCACGCTCTTACTTGCGTCTCTCCTGGGTGGGGGATGGGCAGGGGAGGGCGGACTGCATTCCTGGAGGTTCGATCAGCGGCTGTGAATTGTCGACGCTCGAAGTATGTGTAAACAATGTAGCGAACATCAAGCACTAATGCTGTCAGTCAGCGTTTGCTCTAGGGTGACGGTGGCGGAGTCATTCTTCAATATCTAGCGATGCCGCGTTTTCCCGTTTTCATTGTTAATTTGATTTTGCTTATTTTTATCTTCACAGTTATTTATTTATTTATTATTATCATTTTTTGTCTTTCTCCTCTTCATTAAACTATTCGTCTTCTTTTCCTCCTTTATTGGCGTATTTGTCATCAGAGTAATGGTCCCTCTCCCTTGGTTCCATTTCTGTTCCTCTCGTCCTACTGGCCCGTAATCCTTCCTCTAAGGCACCCATTCATCAGATCATATGCTAATCCCAATGTCTCACGACTCGCACAGATATCTCAGCGCAACACCACATCACACCACAAACACACACACACATATATAATATATATATATACTATATATGATAGGTATAACATCTAGTACTACATACATAATATGTTAGGCCGTACGTAAACAGTGAAGGACTTTTGGTACTTTTTCTTCGGTATTTATGTATCGTGACTGTTGGTAGCTGGGATATATATTGTTCTATGCTAGCTGGTGATATTACTATTATGGATAGGCTTTACTCATAGTACTGAAAGTTAGTATAGCTTCACGTGTTTGTATTTCTACGTGTTATATTCACAGTCCACAATCCACCCAACCAGTTATCGACGTCATGAGCAACATACATCTTTTCTCACATGTCGACCTATATCATATTGGGCGCATAGTGAACCTCTAATGTAATTTTAATCTATACTATATCGTCTTATTTAATATTATTTATTTTTATTTATACATATTTTTAAAAATATTATTTATTATGAAATATTAATCTTTACGGTATGCTCTTTATATTTATTGTTTTAATCGCTTTATTCATATTGCAAACCATGGATAATATAAGTTGTTCTCAAAAAGTGCCGGTTTGATGTACATAAACTATATAGGATAGGGTATTGTAATCATTATTATATATTTATATCATTATATATTTATTACCAAAGTAGTAGGACGTCTTTTGCTTCCATTTTATGATGTATACTTATACATTACACGCACAATACACACAACAGCGATCTCGATCAACATCTCTATTCACATCCTTACAACCAGCGCCATCACACAATACTAGCTCTTTACATTCACATTTAAGTTTTCTAAGTTATTATTATATTAATTAAACTCAAGTATATTATATGGTGTAATAACGCAACAGAAGCCTTTTACACAGGAGTTTGTGCTATGCACATGATTTGTTATTCATATATACTATGATAATGAGCTAAGTCAGGTCGATCGTTTTGATGTGCTGGTAGGTGTGTGTGTGTGTGTGTAGACTTGTGATTTCTTTTGAGGCTTCGCTAGAGTGGAGACTGATAGCTCGTGCTAGAAATGTCGCTATTGTGTGTGTTTAGTTTGTGTTAGATTGTTGATCTTTATCGTAGTCTTGCTGTTGTTTTATGTAATGATACTAAGGGTAACCTTATGTGCGTTAATTCATATAAAATATTATTCGATCCATAGGTATAGAGATAAATGTAAATATCATTGTGTCTTATTTATACTATCGAGCTTGTTATGGTGTATAATAATAATTATATACTATTTGAGATAAGCTAGACGCTATAAAATGTATCCTTTTTTCATTTCTCTGCGCTTATAATTTAATCACCCACACAGGCTAACGGACAACATTCAACCTGCAACCGAAAAAACCCACAACACTGCGACACAGACTATGGGCTAGATGGCACAATCATATGACTATATTAGAGTATAGAAAGTACCCTATAAGCTCATATATATATAACTATATATTTATGTGTATTGTTATATGTATATATATTATATAATAGTATATATATATCAATTTTACTAATATATAACCTCTCTATATAAAATTAATGAATTAGATAAGAGGGCTGACAGGACAAATGTGATTAATGTGAAGCATAGCAGTCATATCATCTAAAATAGGCTCTATTATAGCGTTTAGTGAGAGATAAAAATTCGTAGTGTCGGTATATATATATACTACATAATATATATATATATACATATATCGACACTCGTTAACCCGCCCTCTCCACTATACATTCCCATCACCAGCACAACACACCACGTATATATTATATATATAATCCACTAGGTGATAGTATCGATTATATATGTACTTTCAATATCCTACCCCCTCTATCAATAACTACCCCTTATCATATACCTCTATATATATATGACCCAATCTCACACACACACCCTGATAGACCACCACACACACACACACAACACACACAAACACACACACGGCGCCACTTTAAACTCCACAGCACTTCTGAATACACTCCCACACACACGCGAGGGTAGAGTGATTCATTTGCACTATGTAGGAATCTTCAGGTAAAGTGCCATACCCTCTTAATAAAGAGTGATATTATATATACCTTATAGGTGATAGGTAGGGTATCAGGTGGGCAGTGTATATATGATATATAGTATATTATATTTACAATATATAGTGATAGGAGAATATTATATATTATCAGGCTAGATCAGTATATGATATATATATTTACTCTATATATTAGATATAATCGTATGTGTCACATATATATAGATATATCTATCGTACATACAAATACTATAAGTATCTATATATATATTATATATTATATATATATATATATATATTATATATATATATATATATATATGAATAACATATACATATAATATATATATTAATATAATATATATATATATTATATTATTATATCAGTAATAATATATATTATTTATATATTATATATTATATATTATATATATATAATTATATATATTATATATATATTATATATATATATTAATTAATATATATAATGTATATATATGATAATGATCTATGATATATATAGTATATATGATATTATATATGAATACATATATATAATATATATATATTATATTATATATAATATAAATTATATATATATAATATAGTATGTGTGTGTGTGTGTGATGTGTGTTGTGTGTGTGTGGTGTGTGTGTATAGTTGTGTTACATTATATATATACATATATATATATAATATATGTATATGATATGTTATATATATATGTATATATATATGTATATATATGTATGCATATATATACATACATACATACATATATATTTATATTATATATATTTATATAAATATATAATGTATGTATTATATTATATAATATAAATATAATATATGTATATATATATATACATTATACATACATATAATATATATATATATAATATATTATATATATGTATATATATATATATATACATATATATATATATATACATATATATATATATACATAATATATTATATATAATAATATTATATATATATATATATATATATATTATATATATAATATATATAATATATATATATATATATATATATATATATATATATATATATATATATATAAATATATAATATAAATATTATATATAATATATATATATATATATATATATATATATATAATATATATATATATATATATATATATATATATTATATATATATAGATACATATGTATAAGAGGAGAAGGAGGAGGAGGAAGAGGCAGGCAAGCAGACATACAAAGATAGACAGACAGAGAGGTAGAAAGAGAGAGAGGAGGGAGATAAAGGACATTCTCTGCCCCCGCAGCCGCATGAACTCTGCCTCCCTCATCCAGCCGTTCGGAGGCATCCAGCTGCAACGCGACGGCAGGATCTTTTGGGGCCAAATGTAAGTCAAGGCCATCAGTTCCATTTCACATGAAAAGAGGAAAATGTTGCTCACATAGGCTTCGTTTATCTCTCTGCAATCTTATCCTTTGCCGATAAAGAGCGGGTCTTTCAGGTTCGTGATCAAGCTGGGCTGCCCCATGTTCTTCCACGACTTCCCTTTCGACGTCCAGGTTTGCAAGATCGAGATGGCGAGCTGTGAGTTCTTCGTTGTGAATGTGTTTTGTTTCAGACACTTTTTTTGTTATCCTGTATCTTAAACTTTTGACGGTCTTAAAGTGATGTAAAGTAATTTATTATTATCCACTAATATTATCTTCATTAGCAGTTGCTTCATCTTTATTGTTATTATTATCATTAGCATTATTATTGGTACCATTAATAATACTGTTATTATCATTATTATTATTATTTTGATCAATATCATTATTGTTATTATCACTGTACTATCATCATCAGCAGCAGCATTTGTAATTATAATGATTATCATTCTCTAATGATTCCCATCCTCTTTATCGGTACCATTATCATTATCTGAAGCACCATACTTACCACGCTTCCCTCCACGCGGGCGTTCCCTCCTCCCTGGCCTTCCCTTCCACAAGATTTCCACAGCGTCCGCGACATGTCCTTCGCCTGGCACGGCGACGGGATCTCAGCCTCTCCCAGCATCGAGAAGCTCCTCGGGAATTACGAGTTCGCTTTCGTCCAGGAGAACGTCACTTCTTGCAAAACCATTGGCTACGTGTTTGGTAAGACCGCCATTTGTGTTCGATCCCATTTCTCCCGTTCCTGTCTTTTGTCTTTTTGATGATGCCATTCGCTTGATTCCATAACGCTGATGATACACTTTATGGGGAGAGAAATCTCCGGCTAACACTTGATAAAAACTGGACCAGTTGAGTTCCTCCTCTCAGGGAAATACCCCTGCCTTCGCTCCAAGATGACGTTCAAGCGCCGCTACCGCAACTACCTGCTGGGCGTGTACGTTCCTTCCTCCCTCTTCGTGGTGGTGTCGTGGGCGTCCTTCTTCTGGCCAGCAGAGGCCATCCCCGCCCGCACCGTGCTGCTCATCACCGCTCTGCTGACCACCATTTCCCTGTATTCCGGCGTCCAGTAAGTTCAAGCAACGCTGTAACTGAATGCTTCATCCAAGATGTCAACCAAACTGTGATTGACCTCACAACCCTGCAAACAGATACTCAAAGGGATGTTCATCTAGACTGTTTTAATCTGGAGGTTTGGCCAAGTTGGAAAAGTGATTACAGCGTCGTCTTTGTTCAAGAGAAACTCACTTTGGGTCTTAATATGACAGTTATGGATTAAAAATCTTGTTTTTCAGTTGTTTATTAGAGAAAAAACACGAAGCCATACCAAAGATTATAATAACTATGGATAAGATTTTGCTAAAAGTAACACACACAGACCAATCTTACCATTAAACGCAACAACGCCTAACAACCGACTCCTTCGCGCAGGCAGATGACCCCGGCGGCCAACTACACGCGGGCCATCGACACCTGGTTCTTCGCGTGTATCATGGCCGTGGCGATGGCCTTATTCCAGTACGCAATTATCCTCCAGTAAGTAGTGGAGGGGCATTATTTTCCAGAAAAATATTGCATTTCAATATCGGCGATTTTCCCTTACGGCAAGATCTCATCATGGGTGTAAAAAGAGGTAGTTTATTCATCTGATCGATACCATCCTTGATTGAGTATTGATGACTCTGCATTGACTTTGACTTTTTTTGTCTGTTGACATCACACGTTCAACATGCAAGATGGAGTTGTATTTATTTAATTATTGATATAAAATATTTAAAACGTTCGCGTACATTTCTTTGGTGTTACACTGCGTGAAGCTGTTGCATTTTTCTCTCACTCAGAATTCGCAATCGGCAGAAACTGGTCGTGAGCACCAGGGTTAAACCTGTGAGTATAAATTAATAAAGAAAGTCGATGTTCGTAGTTCCCAAGACACACTTTTATGGGGTCTCCATACTATAATTATTGAATATAAATTCTCAATCTCTTCATGCAGAGACGGAGAATATGTATCAAGTATTATTGCACCTATAATAATGATTCGAAGCTCACCATGACTATTTTGACAAAATTACATAACTTTGAAAAGACCTACCTGTACTGTGACCGACAATATCGCCATATTAATAAAATGCCATGAAATGTGTACAGTCCGCGTATTTTCATACAAACATTTAGGACACAACTAAGAATAATATTCCTCCTCCTATTCCGGACTCCCAGATGAATTCTTCGGAATCGACGGACGACGCAAGAGACTACTGGCTGGCCATGGAGAGGAAGGTCGAGTTGGGCGCCAAGATACTGTACGTTCTCGCCTTCCTTTTGTTCAACCTGGTGTATTGGGTGAGGTACCTGATGTGAAAACGAGAGACCGCATAGAATACAAAAGTTGTATGCGGATGGCAAAGGGACAAAAGTGTTCGTGTGTATTTGCTGCATGTATTTACCTAACTAACAAACACGTTGTTACAAGTAATAGCCAGCTCTCAATAGAAATCACTGTTTTTTCATGTTCACGCACTTTTATTCTTGACATAAATATAACAATCCTCATCTAATTGTTTCATTTCCCTGCGTGTTACTCTGCTTAGAAGTATTCTGCACCTTAAAAAATGAGCAAATCAGCTGAAGAGTACGGCGAGATTAGCAGCATGTAACAGGGCAAGAGAAAAAATAAATTAACACCACATGCCAGTGAAGATGAATAAATGAAGCGTAAAAACCTTGGCTGCATATCTAGTGAACCCCAACTCCCCCGGCGGCCGCCACGGAGCAAGAGTCGCATTCATACGTGTAAAAGACAAGAATAAATGCTCTCTTCAAAGGGGCAGTGAAATACTAACTGACAGGACCGTTACTTGATTTAATTAAAGTACATAATATTTAGTCAAATCTTACTTACGCATTCTCTCTATTATCAGGTTGATCGTCTAGACAAGACCTTAGCAGCCTCAGTACTGAAATATCATTCAGGCTGCTCAGCTTGCCCTGGTTAGCTGCTCACACTGGGACCGTCCTACAGCACAACGCCCGGCAGCTATCAAAGATTTACCTCTGACCCATTGCAGTCTGTTCCCTGACTGAACATGAACTACTAGCCATTCTCTCACCCTACAATCATCCCTTTCACATATCTCACGATTCCCTCCTTTTGCAGTCTACTCTTAAGCCCAGACAATTTCCGCATAGTCTCACATTACTCCCGTACGCCTATCGATCTCATCTGATGAACTCGTATATACCCCTTCACACTCAAGTTCAAACACAGTTGAGTGTTATTTTTCCTGCAGCCTACAAACTCTGCGTTCCTGCAGCACACAACACGGTCAGCACGACCTGACTCCCTTTGCCTTCATGTTTACACTCCTATATTCTAACAAGGGTCCTCTTTGCCTTGTCATCCTATATCTTACAATGTCTTATATTCCTTGACTCTCAGGCTTCTTATCACTTCACTCTTACTCACATTTACTTGCAAATTATGCCTTTTTCTAGTCACTTTAACTTTGTTTATGTGCCTTCAGCAAAAAGGAAATGGTTTACCTTCTCTATTTCCATCTATCACTTAAAATCAAAAGCCCTTTCTAAATATTTCATTTACCTGCCTCACTAGACCAACAACAATGGAGACATTATGCACCCTTGTCAGAGCCTTACTGAATCTTCCAACCAAACACTTTCTTTGTTCTTATTATCACATACGACCTGCTATCCTCAAGGGAACTCTTTGTTTATCTCCCAAATTCTATACAAAGTTAAAATCCATCACATGTTCTTTCTGTCTGTACGAACGGCCAAAATGCACGCCTCCATTTTGCTACGTACTTTTCGTATTGCTGTCTTGCGACAAATGCCTGATTTATGCAATCACTTTCATTTCCAAACTCATTCATGCAAAGACGTTTATTTCCTCCACTTGTAACACCCATTTCCCTCCTTCACTACTTATTTTCCCTGCTTAACCTCCTTCGAAAACATTTCGTTATTTTTTCCTCAGAATACTCGGCCCACCTTCCATTTACTCTTTGTCTTCCCCCCTCATCTCTTTTACTTAATTTCTCTTTTCTGTGTTTTCATTATCGCCACTTAACCAGCTCTCAAAAGCCGTTTCTTTCCATGAATCACTTTACCTTCACGCATTTTCTCTCGCTACGCATTTCCACTGTACACCTCAGCACTCCCTCTCTGAAAACTCTTTTTTCCACCTCCTCCTACCATGTATCTGTTACTCCCTTCATTCCGATGCGCTTCCTTTCTTTCTAGTACATAAATAGCACTCTCGAAATCTGTTTTGCAAGTCATTGTATCTCCCCTGCCTCTTCCTTTTCTGTTACTATCCACATGTCTCCCTACTACCACTCTTGCAAACAACACCCAGCAAAGCCACACTATTTCCACTATCCTCTCTCACGCACATTTATTTGTCTCCATCTCCATTTCCACCAGGCTCCACAATGCTCTCAACTACTCCATCTAACAATTAGATGGGTATAAGTACAAGTGTAGTTATACGATATACACTATGCACCCTGGCATTTAAATCTACCATCACTACTATACTACCATTTATCTCAATACAGTTATTTCCAAGAAGGAACTAGATATATAGTCTTCCACATGAAGCGTTCGTTACTCTTCAAATTTTCATCACTGTCAAATGGATAATGATTGAAGAAAGTAAATGTGCTAGACAATAAAAACTCAAAGAGCATAGTAAAGAATTGTGGTAAAAGGGTAAATAAGAGTTAAAGATTAGGATAAATAGATGGCAAAGATTAGAGAGGGTTATAGGATAGTATATAATGAAAAAAGTAAAGAGGGGGAGCAAATGAAGTAAAGCAGAGATTAGTAAAAAAGGAAATGGTTAAGGGGGTAAGGCGACTGTGTGAATTGGAGTGTATCTGTGACTGTGGAAGGAATAGGGACATTGTTTAAGGTAGACAAAGATGGCTATAAGAGACGTAGGAGGTGAAGGGAACTGAAGACAGTTACTATCAGGAAGAATGTCAGGAGGGGAGGGGTCTGGAGAAAGACACTGTTGTGACAGAAGGAATTCATGTGAGCATCCAGGTGGGAGCATTAAGGATAATGGGGAACAAGAGGGAATAGTGTGGATACAGAAGGAAAGGGCGTTGTGTGTTGTGAGAGTGTAGGAAGAAGCAAGGTAGGGGGACTTGAGAAGGAGGAGGATGGATATTGGCAAATACTTTAAATGTAGAGGGAATAGAAACAAGAATTGGAGGGTGGTTGAGGGAGCAGAGTGTACCCTTGAGATATGTTTAGAAAATTTGGGATGTAGCAGTAGCAGATAAGTTTAGGTTGCCTGGTGTGACAGGTAAAATGAGGAGGAGCGATGGGCATCGAGGAAGTGGCAGGAACTGGAGAATCTGGATTTAAATTGGAGAAGGAATTTGACTGCGGGAGAGGGGAAGTAGACATAGGATGGTTCGGGGTAGAGAGAAGATATACTGAGAGGAAATGCTGAGAGGATGGGAGAGGAGGAGTGCGAAGGACAGTTTTGGAATAGGTAGAGAAAATCCTCGTCGCCATGCTTTCTGCCTGGCCTCACGTAGAGTGAGGCATAATTTGAGTCTGAGAACTGCTACCTCACATTCCAGCTTATAGGCAGTGCAGCTCCTATAAAATACATCATGGGGGCCACCACAGTTGGCACATGACCGTGACTGAGCAGAGCAATTTGAAAGGTCATAACCAGGTTGGGCACACAGAGGACAACAGGCTGTGGAGTGGCAGTGTTTGGCTGGGTGGCCAAAACGCCAACATTTCTGACATTGACGAGGAAGGGGTCGATATGGTCGGGCATGGTAGGAAAATCCACCAATATAAACTTTATGGGGGAGGTCATGTCTGTGGAAGCTAATCTTGGCAATATTGGAGTAGGACTTCTGCTGGCCTCTAGGAGAAATATTGTAGCACTGTCTTACCACTGGATCAATATCAACAGGGCCTAGGTCATTTCCATAGTCTGACCAGTTCTTGTCGTAGATAGGACATTCAGTCGGGAAAATAGAAACAGTTCCAGTATAAGTATTAAGAGAGGAGTGAGTCAGAGTAGATAGTGCATGAGCTTGGGACTCATATGTAACTATGACAAGGCGTGAACGACCAGAACAACTACAAAAGGAAACTTTGCCTACAACAAATCTATTTTAGATAGGCTAGATGATGAAGGGGCAAGTCTTGATGCCTTTAATAAGGGATGATAAGGGTAGAGAATCTTCTCTATTGGCCATGGTGAGCCTAAAATAAATGGGAAAAAGCAGTCAATCCCTCAGGGTCTCCATAAGGGTTAAGGGCTAGGCAATCTGCCAATTGAATACCGTGCCAAAGGCTTCCGGAGGCCGTTCATGACTGACACAGCACGGCTCCCTAGGAATTGGACAGAAGATGGGGGATGGATGTTGAAGAGAAGGAAAAGGAAATGGGGAGAAGAAAAGACCATGCAAAATTGGTTGAGGCCCCCACAACAACAACGACCAAGAGATTTGGGGGAATCACTGTAAAAAATATCGAAAACGGCAGCAGTTTATACCTCCACTTGACGCTCATGGAGCACTCTTGTATATGGCATATTGATAATAATGATGACGATGTTACTGTCTAATAATACTACTGTAATATCAAATATAATTTTAATAAATATGATATGGTAAACATACTGAAAAATAGTAAAGATGATAATAATAATAATAATTATGAGGATAATTATCATAACAATAATAATAGTTAATGGACTGTGTATGAACTAAGCAGCTTCTTAGCTATTTAGCTAGTACATGCTCCCCTAGTTGGACACTTGGTGACTAAAGTATGCGGTACCACTTAGTTATATATATGTATGTATAATATTTTTTTTTGTAATGTATACATGTAAAGTGACGCTGTCAGATGGTTTATGTATATTACATTAATGTTGGATAATGACAAAAAAGACTGTATGCAAGATTCTAACTGATATCACTGAAAAGCTTACAATGGATGCAAATAGCACCAGAAGAAACTCACTCTACTAGTAATATTGTTGAATTAGCACATAGTATTTTGCTTTCCCATTAGTGTATTGAAATAGGGTTGTATAGTATTACTCTTCTCAGAGGAGCACCTGCCATAATTTCTGACAAAAAAAAGAAAGAAAGAAAGAAAGAAAAAAAAAAGAAGAAAAAAAAAAAAAAAGATATTGTTCTCATTCCTATGCTTAATAACCTCGTACTTCTGCTAAACCTATAATATGTACTGTAATTTTCATACTGTTCAGTTAATGGCAAAGATCCCAATTTCTTCTCAAAGAAAGAATCTTCGGAAAGGTTTGAATTTATAATTATTCAGTAGATTTCATGAGGCGTTTTTTGGCAACAGACTATAATGCATTATCATGTTTCTTTTAATACAAAATTATTGGTAATGGAACAATGCAAAAGAAAATATTAAAAATTTATTAGAACCATTATCAACAACAGTATATTATCATGAAAAATATGCATATTCATGATTCATCTATAGACAGCCAATCTTATTATCATCAAGTACTGAGGCTTTCACTGTTACAAATGACTATATGAAATGTAATGACCCAGAAAGATGTTCCCACCAAGTTGTACTTTTGGAAAAAGCAGTACAAACATGCACTTATCAGACTATCAAGATCACATTTCACAATAAGCTTATATTTGTACAAATATATAACCTTTACATTTGCTAATACAATGTGGAGACAATATATAATACAACCAAAGCAGTCTCTCCTGTAATCCTGGAAAAGAGTTTGCTTCTTGATCATATAATTTAATTTAGCTAGTCATTTCATTGTTGTTATTTGGGCTGAAAACAATGCAGATGAGGGAGGCATGAAAGAAAAATGAACATTAATGATTTTCAGGGGCAGATTTTGTTTAATTCTTAAGTTATGTCTTTTTGGGAAACCTCTGGGGATGAGGGGCTTATAGGCCAACATATATGTGTAAAATAAAATATATTAATAGACCATAAGAAAATGTATATAAATGCTGCAAAGGCCTGATTTACATCATCACCTAAGGAGGTAAACTTTGGATCCTAGTGTTCTACTTGAATGCACCTGAAGTATGCTGACCAACAGAATTATAAAAAACATCCCTTTAAGTACTGATATATGGCCAGTTTGTTAAAATTATGTGAGGCATGACCCAATGAAAAAATAATTAAATGGACATGCATATGCATAGAAATAAATACATGTCTATCAGGCTAGCCATGCATATCTACCAGATAGATAAATAGATAAATTCATCTATGTCAGACAGACATAGATATGCATTTACTTCTGTGTATATGCTTGTCCTTATATATGATTATTCATATATAAGGACACACACAATTTTAATAAACTGGCAGAATCATTTGAATGTGATTTGATGATAGTCTGATCATATTCAATTGCTCTTCTAATCTTGGGACTTACAATGTAATAACAGCTTAAATATGATGGCAACAGACAGTCCTACATTTATTTGCATTCCTAAGTATACTATAAATGAATTCCTGAGAAATTGTCTGAACTTGGTGAGTGCATTTCAGCAATGTAACAATTAAACATTTGAAGGTTAGAAACAATGTAACTTCTTGATGGCAGAGTGCATGTACATACATGCTATATCTATTGTGATTTTCATTTATTAATTTTGTTTACATATAGATGGCTCCATAAGTGCTAATTCACCAAACAGTCAGTTACTGGTCCTTCTTGATCTTACTGGTTCACCTTTTTCCTAGACTTTTGGAAAGATTCTTTTTTATTTTTACTGCTATTAGTATTGTTAATAATCATAATGCCAACAAAATTAATAAAAGTGATAATAACAGGAACAATAGCAATGTAATGGTTTAATAATAATTTTGAATGTAATGTAATGGTTTAATAATAATAATCATACTACCAACAAAATTAATAAAAGTGATAATAATAACAGGAACAATAGTAATGTAATGGTTTAATAATAATTTTGAATGTAATGTAATGGTTTAATAATAATTTTAAAAATTCTTGAAAATTCCAGGAATAGGGCAATCAGGTGAAGTCAGGTAGACCTACTGACTCCTTGGAGATTAAGTGCTTGTGGAGCCATCAATGTAAAAAAAAAAAAATAATAATAATAACAAAACAAAACTATGGTGGACACTGCATGCACCCAGTGCTAACTTCAGTGTGACATTTCAATATATAATAATCTAATCATTCTTATTTCTTAATGAATCCTCTCTCTAATGCACCTAATACATTTTGAAGGTAAATATAACATACTTATGGTAAAGTGCTAATAAGAAATTACTTGTCTTCACCAAATGAGAATAACTGCTGTTATACAACTTGTGTCTAGTTTATATCACAGAAATAGCTTTTTTTCCAGATAAAAAACAAATTTCCACATAGCACTCAGTACTGAAAACACCTAGCTGGCTTCTGTTGGAGTAGCTACATAAGAAATCTGCTAAACAATAAATTATAGATAAATATGGCGAATATCTCCATCATGATAAAAATCACTTAATAGCACCAAATTAAAACAACCAAAAATTCCAATAAGCACCTTTTCTTCCACAACTTACACCAGTGGATGCCCTAAATTCTAAGGCCCTATAGGTCATTTAACTTGTATCAGGCTCTTTATTTCCTCTTCTTCTTAAAGATGTCTGTCCCATCACTCTCCTCCTTCCTGTAAACACAGTTGCCTTGTCTGTCAAAACAATGCTTCAGCGTTTCTTGTGCTTCAAAGTATAACTTGCATGGATGTTGAACATACTTGTCAACAAGCTCTATAAAGTGAATCAGAGTTGTCATATTTTCTTCAGAGTTGAGCCCTTCAATAATGCTATCATATGCTTTCTGACACTCATTAGCAGCAATTTTGGTCTGCTCCTCAATCTCCTTGTAATCATACATTAACGTATTCCCATTACTATTGCATTCTTTGTTGGAATACTTGGTATTGCATCTTTTGCATACACCATTGCTGAGACTTAGGGGCACTGAGCATTTTAAGCATCGTAGAGTGAGACTTTGTGACAGAGATGGGTAAGTTGGCCAGCTATTGACACAAGCTTCACATGTACAGGTAAAACAGTACTGTTGCAACAACTCTACTCTTCTTGCCTCACAAGGACTTATGCCATAGTGTTCCCCATAACTGTCTGTCACTTCTCCTCCTTGAGGAATGAATCTTATTGCCCTAAGCACTACCACATTTCCGTAGCTTGAGCGTGCAGCTGCAGGATTACATGAATGATTTGTCAAACTCAGCACACCAAATGCTCCTGACCCAATTTCCTGCGTTGTACTTTCCTGGAATCTGCTTACATTTACCTGAAAAATAAAAATAAAAACATACCTAGTAAATTGATCTCCCAGGTAGTATACCTTATTTTCCATGTACAAAAATGAAATGACCAAAGGATGGCCTCCTTATGAATGCTGCAAGATTTCAGTGTAATATAACCAAAATCAAAACAATATTCAATATTTATGAAAGATATCAAAGTTATACAAGGAGAACACACAAAGGGACAATAATCCAACACACAATTCTTGGTATGCAAGAATTCTCTCTGTGGCAAAATAAAATGTACCATTACCTCAAGTTCGGTGACAGAATGGGCATTGCAAGGCAGATTCATCATGTGGATGAAGAGAGTACATCCTGTCAGAAGAATATCCTCCTGGGTAGGCATGACAGGCTTTCCATCTTCAGCTACAAAATGGTTCTTACTTGCTATCATGAGCTTTGTCAGGGTCAGAGCCATTGCACATCGTTTGAATAGGTCACTCACAGAGCGCTGCTCCTTATTGTGGACAAGGTGGTATATTGTCTTGTAGTCAGAAGAGCTATATATCCCTTGAGTGTTGAAGCCCAAAGACTCGGGGGCTTTATGTTTTGATTCCTCAAGAAGCTCTGGCATCAAAGCTTTCAGTTTCTTGTGTGTGGTATGTGTTAAAATTCTGTACGCTAAGACAGAATTCTTACCCATATCTAAGGCAGCTAGGGTAGGAAGTATATTACATTCCTGCCTATGGAAATATGAGAGGCCTTGGATGCAACAAAAGCTGCTGCAGAAAACTACCTGTAAAATAAAAAAAATATATATATACATAATAACCTCTTTAATGAATATGTAATGAAGATTTATGAAAAATATTATTTCCAACTACTTAAGAAATGGAAATACTTAATTTCAATGTTGTATCTAAAACAAAAGACATCTTTAAAGGGCATATGTGGTAATCATCATGCATTGTTTTTTCTTTGAATATTGTTCAATAATGTATGCTTAGCCTATTCATGCAAAAAAATTTTCGAAGAGACCATCTGGTATCCCCAAAACTCCCATAGCAACGCCCTTAGAAACGAAGATGCAGAACTTGGCGATCATCGGTAATCCCCGGTTGTGATGTCATTCCCAGGACCAGGGAGAATCTTGTTGAATAGCGTGATACACACAGTGCACCGTGAGTCAAGGATATCATGGAATTGTCCCAGTTTCAATCTATGAAAGTTTGTAACAAAGGATACTGCGGCGTCGTGTAGCAATTCATTGTTCCCATTCGTGTAACCAGCTATTTGAATGGCCAAAAGATTGCGACAGAGCAAGGAAGTAGACACGTTTCATGCAAGCCAAGCGGAGCAACTTTAAGCCTGTGCCAACCAACGTACTTTGCCTGAAACACTTTGAGCCCAATTGCTTTGCGAACAGAATGGCTTACGACATGGTATTTGCAAAACGGTATGCCATTTCCAATTTATATATGTCATGATCACAACAGCACAAAACAAACTATGAAAGAGCGCTTTTGCTTGGCGGCATAGCAAACATTCATTGCGCGGGTACGACACAGTGTGCCGAGTGCATTGCAGGTGTGCATGTATTACTACACAGAGGTAGGGTAGGTACACCCTAAAAAGCACAACACAAATAAATACTGATGCCCCTCCACTCATGAATGGATGTCAGCCTGCACCACGGGTGCAGACAAGAGATAGCTCAGCCTGCAGAAATTTTTTACCATACAGAAGCTGGATCACACATTTGACTATAAGAAATAATTTAGAAAATTACTATTCATTCAATCTCTTCGGGTCTCGATGCCATTCCATGTCTGGCTGGTTCGTCACAACTTCCAAAACATCCACAGCGTCGGGCTCGTGCATGTACGGTCCAACAATCATCAATCCTTGATATTCCTCTTCTTCCAACTCTTCGAAGACGTAGGCACCCTCTGAAGAACTTATACCAATGTCCTCGTTAGAATAATCTGAAGAAACTTCACTGCCGCTGTAGTCTTGTAGTGAGTCCGCCATGTAAAATGTATTGAATGCAGAGAATGCTGTGATCGTGTTCTGGAATTACCATCACACATCCGGGTTCCAGATTTTTGCGGGAAAATATAACTTGACTTCGGAAAATCAAAATAAATAAATTTTAGGGAATTATTTTCAGATTTCCTTTTTTACTCTTATTAGAGAGATGGTTTGCGAGCTAATTCTCCCTTTTTAACATTTTCAGTTGTTACTTCACATAAGCCCTTTAAAAGAAGACAATGGTGAAAAATATTTTTATATATTCAGACCAAATCTTAGATGACTGACAAAAAGAGAGGAAGGTAGAGGAACAAAATGAAGACATTTAATCCATCTATAGAAAAAGAAAAAATGGGTGAATATGGGCATATTAATGCTTTCATGCATGTGTGTCTCTGTGTCTTATCTTACAGGAAATTCATCCAAATACCTAATACATTTAACAATTCCAAAATTCAAAGTATATAGCTTTCTATAACCATTTTCTAAAGCTAAAATAAATATAAACATACACACAAAGTATAAAAAAAGTTTCAATACAATTTCTGAAGGTGGTACAATGTCTTCAATGTTTTTGAAAATTTTTACTGTCATTTTTAATCACATGTCAAAAATAAATAAATCAACTACAGGATATACAATGAAGATAAAAATGAAACAAAATAATATATACATATATTCCTCTGGGCATATCTATAAAAGGATAAGCATTAGCCAATTTATTTATTCATTTTCATACTACACTGTATTTTTTCCCATAAACAATGTTAGTTCAGCTCCAATCTCAGTGACTGATTGATCTCCATATTCTTACCACTCACTAATTTCAGCAACAAACCTTGTACTTAAAAGACTAAGGCAACATAAAGCAAAGTATTGGCAATGAAATCAACTGAAATGCAAAATATTTGCTCTGTATACTTTGAGGCAAAGTGTTAATTACTTACTTGTCTTCATAGCTCCAGAATGTTTAAGAGAAAATCATCAATATCTATATTAATAATAATAATAATAATAAAAATAAAATTAATAGTAATAGCTAATAATGATAATAACAATAGCTATAACAAAAATAAAAATCACCTATATATAAGATATGTATGGTAAATGCCTTTACATATTTCAGCTTCAAAGTTACCTGACAAACATTTTCTCTGTCAAATTTTAATGCCTTCATGAATGCCTTCTTTCTTTTTCAAAATCTTCACATGGTATCACTACTAAAAGTCTGGTAACATAATCAAAACTACAACAGGTTATACTCACTCTTGTGCATGATGGACATGGGACGGGTGTAAGGCATCTAGACAAGCAATTAGAGCAATGTGTACGCAGTGAGGAGTCGAGGTGTAGAATGCTACAGTATCCTGTCTCAGCAACAAGAACATCACCTACAAAATAGTAAATAATGTAGAAAGAAACATGTTTGGACAGTGTATATTTCATTCTATTAAAAAAAGTTAGTTTGATTTAGTTTCATGGAAACACCACTTTAAAAAATCATCATCATCATTGTTACAATCACCTGAAATAATATTGATGATACTAGAATATAATAACCATTAAAATAAAACTAATAAAAGTTTAAGTGAAAGTCATTGGATTTTACCTGGATGAATGTCTCTTTCTGCAACCAGATAACGCCCTTGGGAAGGTGTGTAAGCCATCCTGACTGAAGCACTTAGTGCTGGTATAGTTGGACTGGGATCTACAAGCTTGGGAGCTGTTGGTGTTTGGCAGGAAAATAATAACTTCTCTTTGGATGCTCTGGATAAATCTATTTGAAGATCCTTTTGAGAAGTTTTTGCTTCACTATGTGTGTCATTTTCATTTGATTCACACTGGTTTACTAAAAACTGTAATGCTTCTCTAGAATTCTTACTTTTTGATTCATCCAAAGATAATTCAGCAAGGTCTTTCAGTGCATTTTCCAAGACCTCTTTAGCCTCTGACTTTCTCTTTTGTGCAATAAGGCACTTAGCTTTCCTTTCTGCTAGCTTACTATGCAATAATTTTGGATATCCATACCTCAGGGCAGCATCAATATCATATACACATTTATCATACTGCTCCAGTTCAAGTAACACAGCTGAGCGGTTAGCATAACCAAGTGATAAAGATCGATATTCCTCCAGATCACTCTGATTAGATTCTTTGCCAGACTTTTCACTATCATTTATACAGCAATCATTTGGCTGCTGTCCTTCATGGTGTTCTGCAACAGGCAATGCTGGATGTGTAGCTGACATTATGCTCAAATTATAAAGTTTTAGAGCTTTATCTAGTATTTTTTTCTGGTAGCATTTATTACCCTCTGCACGAAACCTGTCAGACTCTGCATCAGACTTCCCTGCATTAATGAGTGTGGGACTGAGGCACTGCTGAGCCACATCCAGATCCCATAGATAGGAGAACATACTTTGAAGACTCTTCTGTGGCCCGAAATTACTACTAACCTCCAAAACTTTTTCTGAGGCCTTTAACTCTGATATCATATTTGAAAACAGCTGGTGGAAAGTTGCAGACTGGTCCATTCTGAGAATTTACAGATAATACCACAATCTTGATGTTCTGAAACACAGAGTCAATATCAGTCCACAATGTAGTAGCATGGCACCTAAAATTCAGATACATATAATAAGTCATTCCCACTATTTCTTTGAAATAGTGGGAAACTAATTGACTCTTTTATGGCTAAGCCCTGGCAGAGCCATCTATGTACAGAAACATTTAACAAAACAATACGAAAGTGAATGCAACTTTTTCCCGGTGGCATTGGGTTAATGTCCTGTCAAATGTATATTCCTCCTTATAACATAAATTCAAAGGTATTCTTCAGTTGTAAGTTAAGAACGAAGAGCTCATGGAGTGTGACTGAGTGCATCGCAATTTCCAATCTGACTGAATGATGTCCACCTTAATCACTTGCCACCAGATATGGTATGTGCTTACATGCCAAGCCGACTGTGTGCTTAATCTAGTATTTTTTAAAAATATAGATGGCTCCACAAGTACTAAGTCATCAATGAGCCAATTATGAGAACTACCTATCTCACCTGTTTATCCTTTACCTTGATTTTTGATAATCTTTTCTAGTATTTTATACTGCTGTTAGCAATAGCAATATAGGAATCATAATATTTAAAACAAAAATAACAGTGTCGATATTGATAGCGTCAGTAAAAAAAAGTGTTTTCCCACTATTTCAAGGAAAGGTGAGATCACAAGATCTGCTAACTGACTCCTTTGTGGCTAAGCAGTGGCAGAGCCATCTATGTACAGAAGCATTCAACAAAACAATGCTAAAGTGAATGCAACATTTTTCCATCAGCATTGGGTGAATATAACATTAATAATAATAATGATTATTATCATCATTATTTGAATAATAATTATAATAATAATATTAACAATAACTATAATTAATAAAAATAACAATAATAATTACAAAGTTGACATAAGTCAAATGGTGCATAGCCTTGACTTTGAGATTTAATAGGCCACCACCTCCCATCGTATACAAGGAACATGTGATTAGCTTCCTGATCACTTGCAGAAGAGACTTAAATTCTCAAAGACTAGATCAGTACTTGAGCCACAGCACACAGCCTTACTGTGCAAACAAATAATTGCAGACTAAATACAACAAATACAAACCTGCCGAGTACAGCTCGTCTTTAATGATGACTCATGATTATCATTATTATCATTATCATTATTAAACCTATGAGACCATAAAGTGACTGAGAAAATGTTAATTACAATGGTTAGCAGTGAGACAACACATGTACGTCTGCCAATTGCCTTACCCATCTTGTGCTGTCTTTATGCATATTATCGAGGACTGACAAACCTCTACCAAATAAGTTTATATTCTGGCAAGACATAACTAGCTGATCTATTATGGCAATTTGTCATCTAAAATAGATTCACTTCAGGCTCTACCTTGACAAATGTATGTGGCTGAGGTTTGCCTACCTTTAACAGGGCCCTTGAACAGTTTGGCACTGCAATACCATTGGGTTAAAGTTCACTGTTGATTTACTGTTACATATAGTTTCAAGTAAATTTGGATTAAAAACAATATAATCAAAAGAAACAATAATCCATTTTGAAAGCCACTGCGGGTGTTCTATATTCCCCACTCTGAATGACATGCTTGTCACTAGATGTTTTCCCTTGTGTATGCTTACAACCCTTCATTTTCTTTGGAATAACAATGGCATGCTTTTAACCTGAGAATATATTATACTTTGCATGTCTACAACCCTACATTTAATACTGAATAACAAGATGCATAAACGTAGCTCATACACGATGAAATAATATAAACGTACGGCAATAAAACTTATTTAATCTTACTAACTTTCAAACAACAAAAGACATACGGAGTACTTAATGATAAACAGCGCTCAATACAGCTAAAGAAACTCACAAATACGAGAAAGATTACTCCTTCCAAGCCTGCTTTCCTCCGCCACCCTCCTTCCTCCGCCTTCTAAACTTAGCACGTTCAAAACATGTGCGCGTTCGGATCCTAGGAAGACTCTTCTAGTTCTTCTATTTTGATACTAGTTATAGGGAGCCAATATGTAATTTCTTGAGCAATAGTAGAAACGGCTACTGTAAACGCGTTATGCTCAATCAATGTACATGTCTGCTTTTACGAGGTTTGCATACGCATCTATCGTAAAAACACCAAGGAATCGGACTGTTTTCTATTTAGTTATCCATCCATTCTCTTTCCAAATAATAACAATCGAGAGAAGTCAATGCAATGCTCAATGTTAAGCCGAGAGAAAGTTCTCATTGCATTAGAAGTAATACAAACACGTGAAAAGTGTATTTCCTAAGCTAATTCACATCTCACTTACTGAAAAAATATTATTTTTAGATAAGGAGGACCCCCTCTCACAACGTCATATACAAGAATCCATATATATCTAAATGTATATGCATATGTAGAAACATATGCATGTATATGTACATATATGCTTTTTATGCTATGAATGAACAATTATAGAACAAAACTGAAATAGAGCGAATACTAAATACCGTGCTATAATTTGGTAGATTAAACGATGTGTTTCCTTTTCGTTCAGAAAGAATTGGAAAATAAACTATATATTTAGTGCTATAGGACAGTGTAATTAATGGATTTTTACGAGTGTTTCGAAGGTCTACTGGTTAGTGTATCGATAAAAGAAAGGGAGGTCTTATAAGACGTAAAGCAGAGACAGCGAGAAACAGAGGTAAAGATATCAGAAACATTCACGAATATTTGGTTTTCAAGTTTACACGCTGATTTTTATATCCAAGTTAAGAGATTATTTGGTTTATTTACCTTTAGATAATTGTTCAGAGTCGGACCGTGCCATGGTCCGTGATTCGTCTTCCGGCAAAGGCCTACAGGGCTCTCGTGTGTATACAGCAAGACAGCTGGTTCCCATCGCATGAGGCCTAATGAATGGTAAAAGTTTGTTTGTCTATGCTGGAGAGTGAAGTGTGGAGTTTGTAGCTGTGCTAGGGTAAGCATAGAATTGTGTGCTTCCATAAACAAAAGTGACAAACTATTTAGCGGTCAATATGTAGGACAGGGCCAGACTGTAGAGTTTGGTCTGCTAAAATTATTTGGTCAAATTCTGTCTGTGCAGACGTAGTTATTGGGTAATAATCCGCACACGTTTAGTTCTTTTATAAATCATCTGATGCGCATAAAATTCTTTTGACTTTTCTGCTCACTTGTTTCATCATCTGTCTGCACAACGTAGACAAAATTATGTTTTCTGCGCAATTAAAAATATAGAATTCCCCGTGCAAGAAAAATACTCTACGGTCTGGGGACAGGGTAGTGACTTACTTTTGAAACAATTTTGATATGTATCTGCAGGAAATCCACCGATTTCAACGATTCTTGGTGTTGTTTCTTGTGCAAATGCTTTGATGAGGAGTACCACTTCCATTGACAATCTTAATTTGTTAGTCCTGATACCAGGGGAGGGCATGTCGTATATCAGGGAAATTATGGGGTAAAACAGGCTTAAATGAGAAGAATAGTGAATATGCAGGGGAGGGCATGAAGTATATCAGGGAAATTATAGGGTAAAACACGCTTTGATAAGAAGAATAGTGAACAAAAATGTGTAAAACTAGCACAATAAATGGTAAAAATCAGCTAATGAAACTCTATGGACATGCCTGTCTTTGAAAGTCTATGAATCAAAGCGCCAAAATTTGAAAAACTGCAGGAATCCAACCCATCTTTCGGCAAAATCTACAGGATTTCACACCTTTAAAACCAAAAAAAATGTTGTGACCCATAACCCAACCTAACTTGGCAATTAATGGTACCGTGACTAGGCGTGCCCTTAGGGCACTGCCCGAGGGTTGATCAGGTCTTTGCCCCCAACACCCCCTGGGACACATTCTCTTTACCGCGGCATGTACGGCAAAATAGAGCTACATCGATAATGTAAATAATGAACCAAATACCTTTATATTTTGAAAGACTGAATAGTCTAATTTTCTTTGCTTCTTTTGGTTGGTCTTATGTGGGTCACTTCGTATTTATCACTTTTTTTAAGAAAATCAAAAATCAAACTGTGATAGTTATTTAGGTCTTTTTCTTCTTTGTTGCTACTGTAAAGTTATAAGAATAACTTAGAATCAAAACAATATCGAAAAACAAGGCATTTCTTGCCGGCCTTCTGTCAATGAATGGCCGTGAATCCTGCTGTCAAACCTTGCTGTTGGAAATGTGCATGCTCAGAAAGTTCTTCAGACTGATTCCCGTAAAAAACTGTATAATAAATTTCAAAACATGTAAATATAACAACATCAATAAAAGCTGTTGAAAATATAAATGTGGAACGGCAGACACTGATGATTAGCAAAAAGTCAATTTGAAAATCACGTGGTAACACATGAACTACTTCGTACATCGCAGTATTAAGTTCTGCAGTCAGTCTAATGTTTACTCTCGACATGAAAACAAGATGATCGACTTAGCCAAAATTGGGCTCTCACCTCTGCTCATTTACGTATAGCACCTAAAGGAAGCATTTGCACAAATATTGCCATAGAAGAAAAGTGCCTTGGTTTGTATCGGTCTATCAAATCATATAGGTGTCATTATTCAACTCCGCCACTACCTCATGCATGTTGTCCAATTTAGCTTTTGGAGATTAGTTTTGTTTTATATATAATTAACACTCAGTACCCCAGTTTCTCTAAAATGTTTCCATAGTCATATGATGAATATATGTATCTATGTATCTATGTATCTATGTATCTATGTAACTATGTATCTATCTATATGTAATATATATATAATATATATATATAATATATATATATATATATATATATATATATATATATATATATATAGATTATATTTATATGTATATGATATTGTATATGTATATGTATATATGTATATATATATATATATAGTATATATATATATATATATATATATAATCTATATATATATATATATATATAATATATATTATATATATAATATATATATAAATATATTTATAATAGCTTATATATAATATATTATACATAATGTATTATATATACATATATATAATAATACTAATAATAAATATATATATATTAACATATATATATACTATATGATATATATAATATAATACATATATATACCATATATATACATATTATATTATACATAATATACTATATATACTATATATACATATATATACAAATATAACCATATATACATATATATATATATATATGATATATATATATATATAAGATATATATAAGATATATATAAGATATATATAAGATATATATAAAATGTATATGAACTATATATGAAAAAAAAAAAAGATATTAATAGAGTAATATAAAATAATACAAAAAACGAAAAGAAAAAGAAGAAAGAATATAAATTATATATATGTATTGTAATATACATTCTATATATACTATCAATATCATCTATATATACTATATTTCATAATATATATGAATATATATATAAATTTATATATACATATGGATACAATAATTACACTATATACTATAATATCCACCCTTCACCCTTATCACATACTATATATTATACTAGTATATTATATACGTAATACTATAATAAGATATTATATAAGATATATATAAAATGCCTATATTGAACTATATCCATGAAAATTATATATAAAATATAATTAAAAAAACTAATAATAATAAAGTATATATAAAAGAATATTACAAAAAAGCAAAGTCAAAAACAAGAGAAGATATCACTATTACTAAATGAGTGTATCTTATTATACTATTTATCTATAATATAATAATATTATATTATTTATACGTATAAATATTAATATATAAAATATGTTATATATATATTATATATGATATTTCTCTATATACTGAGTATGGTCACATATAGTCTATATATTATTATAATTTACACTACTTATATTGATTATAATAAATTATATACTCTATATATATATATGTTATCATATATATTGATATATTATTATTATATATATCATTACTGTATTATGACAAATATATCATATATTGCTTTACTATATATTGTACTATCTATATACTTATTTATATATATCACCTATTATATCTATATTATACATATAACTTATTTATATATATCTATATTAATATATATATATTTAATATAATATATTATAGTAGTCACTATTCATCACTATGTAGCTTTATAGTTTTACGTAGTATATATATATATATATTATATTACTCAAGTTACTAATAAAATAATATATACTATGTCAGGTAAATAATATATATTCTGAGATAATACTATAAATCTTTTATTACTATGTCACCATATAATTCACGTTACTATACATATTGTAATATATATTTAACTATACTTTTTTTCTTCTAAATTATTATATACTACATAGGATATATTTATATTATTTTAATATCTAATCTCATACTCTAATTAATATATCTATATATATATTCTAATGTTTTTATATCTATCTATGCATGTCTAAATCTACAATCTATCATTATCCTATCTCACATACTACTCTATCTATCCTATCTATCTATCATCTATCTATCTATCCTATCTATCTACTATCGAACTATCTATCTATCGATCTATATATATAGATATATATAAAATATTATATAAATATATATATATATATGTATACAGAGATATAATAATATATATATATATATATATTATATATATATATTATATTATATAATATATATACTTATAAATATATTATATATTATTATCGTATAATTCATATATATCTATGTATAATATTATATATCATATATATAATATATATACTTATAATAATTATATATATAATATATATTAATATATATATGATAATATGCAATATATATACTCATTATCATTCTTCCTGTAGTACTACTGATATATATATATATTATTACTATTATATGTTATACCTAATACACACATAAGATATATAAATATAATATATACTCCCTACATATAAGTATTGAGCTATTCATACCCTGTATAATTATACAGAATGTATGCCTACTATCACCTATATAAATTCACTACTATAGTCTATATATTATCACTATATATATCAATATACACATACGCAATCAGTATATGTATATTTCCACACATCATTAGTACTAAATATCAGAAGCCCCCTATACTGATCACTAAAGTTAACTACATATTCAAATGTCAGTAATATTAAGTATATAATATATTATAATGTATAATATATATTTAGGTTATATTATATTATATATATATATTTATATTTATATGTAATAATGTATTTATATGATATTATATTATAATATGTATATATATATAATGTATAAAAATACATAAGTCTATTATAGTATATCTATACATATATATATTAATACATATAATATAAGATACTTCACTATTACTCTAAACACTATATAATAGTAATACACACACATTTATATATAATTACCAGCCCTTATACACCACACCCCACACATATATTTAATAAGTATAATGTCTACTATATATTATACGTTCTGATTACACACAGATATAGCCATAGCTAGTATTATATATAAATTATATTATATAGCTTAGACCAGATCACACACTACTATCATCACAAGTATATAAATAATCTAGAATATGGAAAAGTAATATATATAAAATAGTTGAATAGTATTTATAAATATATATATTATTATACACTAAAAACATATCACTATTATTATTATTAAATTGTAGATCACGAAGTGTGGTATATATATTATATATGGATATATAATGTATATATAATATATATATATTTAATATGTAGTATATATTCATATTATTAATAATATATTACAATATTAATAAAATATAATAAGTAGTATTATATGACATTATTTTCAAATATCTCTTTATGAGAGATATTAGTATATAATGGCTATATGTATCATTAT